GGGGAGCTGAGGGTGGTGGCTGACAGCCAGAGCACGAGCCGGCCGTGTGCCCAGGCGGCCAGGTCGGCCCATGGCAGCCTGGCTCGTATCAGCAGCAGCGCAGCCAGTGGCACCAGGGAGGTGATCGGCCCTCTGTACTCAGCTCTGGGAGGCCGCACCTCGAGTGCTGTGTTCAGTTCTGAGCCCCACACTGCAAGAATGACATCGAGGCCCTGGAGCGTGTCCAGAGAAGGGCAACAAAGCTGTGAGGGGTCTGGAGCACAAGTCTGATGGGGAGCTGGGATTGTTCGGCGTGGAGAAGAGGAGGCCCAGGGGAGAAAACAACACAGGCTGCGCACCTTGGGATGAAAGAACGGGTAGCAGACATTGGTGAAGCTTGACATGAAGAGACTGGAAATTAATGCTAACTAACAGGACAAGCAGTGAGGGCTGGAAGGAAGAGGATGAGACCACTGGTACACTGTTCATGCTCTGATACATGCAGCAACATTGGGGCCCTCATACAAATGAATTAAATACAAAAATTCAAGCCTCATTGCGCTCATTAAGATGTACATGTACATTGCAACCGGCTTCAGAAAGCGACCTTTTAACACACATAAAATACATACATACATACATATACATCTCAATTGCAACTTTTATTATGTGCATAAAGCAGCTGATACTGAGGGAGGAAAAAAAGATAACTGCAGATTCACACCAGAAATCGATACTGGCTACTTTCTTCCAGGTTGCTCCTTACATTTGAAATCCTTGGTTGCAAACTGAAGTCCTCTCATGGTGGAATCAAAGTGAAGTTTCTGTAACAAAAGAAAGAAAAGATTTTGTTGGAATACCACAATAGTGCAGGCTTCAATTGTGGCAAATCTGACCTTTGGACTAAAGAATTCACCTATCTGAGATTTACAAAGCCTGTTTCTCTCTCATACTCAGCCGTTGGCCCTTTTTGTAATAACTGAAAAGGAACAGAGAGAAAAGCAGAAAAGAGAAAATGCAGGGAAAAAAAAAAATCAAAAAATAAAAGAAAAATGGAAAAAAAGAAGAAAAGCTGGATGTCAAAATAAGAGCTAACAAGGTCTTAGCAATCACAAGGCTGAAAAAACAAATAAGGAGATGAGTAACACAGTGGACACTTTATTTTTTTAATTTTTATTTCCTATTTAATCCCCCCTCACCCCATATCTTTTATTTCCTCTTATTCCCTGCTGGTAATTATGCTCTCTCCTTAAATAAGTTTTAGGCCATGTTTTCCTGGAAAGCTCTAGAAAGGGTAGGTGAGGTTTTTGGGTCATAATTCTGGGTGCTGTTTCATGCTACATATCAAAGGATAGAGATTTTTAATATCAACTGGAAGAGTTTGACCCTGGGAGGGTATAGCATCTTCTGTTCCATTAATGGAGAACTGGTTTAATTTGCTTTGTATTTTTCAGATCATTTTTCATTCCAGCCTAAAGAGCAAGGAATCAGCGAAGCACCAGATTTGCAGCCTTGTTTGTTCCAGTTCTCAGATCTTCTTGAAGCTCTTCATTTATTGTGACAACACATGAAGCACCAGGTACTCACTTAACAACATACTTTAACTGGTTTTCTCAGGTATTTAACTGGTATTCTCTTTAGTATTTGTTTAAGTTAAAAACACAAGAAACACTGAAAAAGGAATTTGTGAGTAGGAACCGGAGATCATCTTTTTTGCCAGCTCTTGAGTACTGTTTAATTTAAGGAAGTGAGAATTAAAACCAAGTTGTAATAGTAGTCAAATTTTTATGATTCCTACTTTTTCACAGTAAGAGGAGCAGTGTCACAAATCCATTCTCAATGTTCAGGCATAAATATACTTTTTTCCTTTTATCTACATCTGGGAAACTTGCTCAGACTTCTCTTTCTTGCTCAGTTCCAAGGACATCCTTGCTTTTGCCACCATCACACCTGCGACTCCTTAATCTCCTGCATCAAATACAAGATGTTTTAATATCAATGCCCTTGGAGATAGGATTTCACCCCTCCTGTCACTTCTCATTCATCATCATCGATTTGACCTGGCTGCCAGTCATCTCACACTCACTCTCAGGTGATTCTTTGCTGCCTCATCTCTTGGGCAGAGCCAGAGAAGTCGGAGCATCGGCTCAAGCGCAGAGTTCTGCACACCAAAGCAAGTCTGCACTGTATGCAAAGCAATGCATGGATGACAATTCATCCCAGCCTGATGAGAGTTCAGGCAGATCCCTTTGGCATGTGTGTTGAGGTGAGCTCACCCAGCTTCAGTCTAGCTGCAGAAGCACTGCATCCAGCAAGGGGAGACGCCAGCAATAGCATGGCCAGGAAAGGAGGACTGATAACATGTCATCAGGAGATTTGTCTCACCCAAACAACCCCATGGGGCTGTCCTAGAAGATATGTTCCTGTAGGGAGTTAATGCTATGCCTCAAGCAAAAACATGCCTTTATTTTGTAATAATAATGCAGATAAATGCTTAAACTGCTATCGGCTTTTGTCAGCTTGCTCTACAATTCTATCGGCATCTGGCAATGGGAGTTTCCAGTCTAAGAGCTTTTAGGCACTAAAATACCACCCTGTTTTCACTGATCTCAGCATTTTATTATTATTATTATTATTATTATTATTATTATTATTAATCAGGATCTCTTGCCTAATCTCCACAACAAATACTGATGTGCTGCCCATGCTGCTCTAGGAGCTCTTAAAACTACTTTAGAGTAACTATGTTTTCTTGGTGAAACACAAACATTGTCCACTCTCATTTCAACAAAAACAGCCTCATGGAACAATACAGAATCATGGTCATCTGACTAAAAATTAAACAGCATTTAGCCAATAATGCTTGGAACCATAGAACCACTAAGGTTGGAAAAGACTTCTAAGAGCACCAAGTCTACCCGCCAGCCCAGCCCACCATGCCCACTGAGCCCGTCCCTCAGTGCCACATCCACACGGCTCCTGAATGCCTCCCTGGGGAGCTGCGCCACTGCCTCACCCCTCCTGAGAAGAAATTCTTCCAACCTATCAGTATCCAACCTGAACAGCATCTGGCACAACTTGAGGCCACTCCCTCTTGTTCTACCTGGGAGAAGAGGCTGACCTCCATCTCACCACAACCTCCTTTCAGGCAACTGTAGCGAGTGATAAACCGAACACAGCACTTGAGATGCGGTCCCACCAAGTCTGAATGCAGAGGAATCACCCCCTCCCTGGTGCCACTGGCTTCACTGTTGCTGATACAAGCCAGGATGTCATTGGGCTTGTTGGCTACCTGGGCACTCTCAAATGTTTACTCTGAACTGCTCAACAAATCAGGAATATAGCACAGAGGTGACATGAATCACACCAGATCACCTCAGTAATTAAGCTGGCAACAAAGTGCAGCTGCTAAGCATCCTACACCATTGCTTTCACTTTACCAGGCAGAATTTAGATTTTGAGAGGGAAAAAAGAGGGGACTTGCATAGCAAAGTGCTGCCCACTCTTTCCAACTTAGGCTTAAAAACAAAATAAGACCAACAAAAGCCAACAATCCTCCACCTCACAAAAAGACAAATGAGAAAAAAAAATATCAAAACAAACAAAAGAAATCCAATCTCAATCCTTATCTGAAGAAAACAAGAAGAAGTAAATTGGGTGATGCTTAATGCATCTCACCAATCGTAACAACCCACGTTCTTCAGATATTTGGACAAATCTAAAACCAGAAATGAAACACATTTACAGGTGTGACTGATTACCTTTTCCTTCATGCAGTTTTTTTGTTTTAATTAAGGTGTTCTCTCACTACTGATGAAGGACAGCACCCAGACAGCCACTGCTGGCAGAGGTCGCGGCGTTCTCTTCCATCACCCCAGGAGACATTTCTGGCAGCATTTCAGAAGAGTCTTCATTCTCGTGGTGACTTTCATTTAGATCTTCAAGGGTAATAACATCAGCTAAAAAAATAAACAAATTATAAACTGCAGCTAAAAATACTTGAAGTTATCTTACATAATTTGTATCATGAATAGTATATTCATGATAATTTGTATCAGAATAGACTGTTTCTAGAACAAGCTTTTATCTCATCAGAATGCTCAGGATTCTGCTTCCTAAATGGCCTCACAAATAAGCTAATTATTTCGGGTTTAAATAATATAGATACACATCTGTCAGAGATAACATATATACATATATACACATCAGTTTTACATGTACACATATATATAAATCCTGCTTTTCTACTTCCTTTCAGCTCTCTAAGGACCTTCCTTTTCTGTCTCTTTCTGCTGCCCCAGAAACTCTCCTATTTCAGGCAACAAACCCTAACAGCTTCCAGCAACCAACTATTGTATTTTAATCTTGTTGCACAATTTATTCTAAATTACACTAAACTAATACAGAAATAATGGAACCAAACAATCAATAACCGGACAATGTAGCTGCACGCTGCAGGAATTAATGTGTGCAGAATTAATGTGTATAGAAGTCCTGAGCACCTTGTGGGACCTTGATGCCTCCTGCTGCTTGAGGGCCCAACCTGTTGTCAGGCTGACCGTTAAGCTGAAGGTGCTCAGCTTTTCAGAGGAACAAAAGCTAAATAAAAGCTTTTTCATCTTACATTTCTTTCTGATCTGGAATCAGATAAACTTGAATTTAGTATTTGATTAGTTGTATGCAGGAAACTAAAATGCAAAGAGTCTCAGTATGTCAATCGGGAGAAGTGGCAGCAGCTCTGCCATGCTACCTACCCAACCACTGGAGGCACACATCTGCCAGGAGGGTTGGAACTAGATGATCCTAAAGGTCCCTTCCAACCCAAACCACTCTACAATATCTTACTACTTTTGCACAGAGAAGTGTTACCACTCTTTTGTGCTGAAAATCTTTGGCATATTTCACTTCAGTATTAACCGTGTTCCCCACAAATATTTTATACCAGCTCTGTATCACAAAATACACTCACCAGCCAAGGCACTTCCACTCTGCAACCCATTTGCTTTCTGCTTCTCCTGAAATACATAACAACAGTCCAGAGAAAAAGAGAGTATGTGACAAGAGATTTTGCTATTCTGGGAGAGAACAAAATCTGTGTTCTATTTTACATTACTATGTCATTGTACCTGCAGGATTTTCCTCATTTCCACTGCTCCTCAAGTAAAATCAAACCTTTATAAAGCAGCAGCGGGAAGTAGCACAAGAGTAATTTGTAAGTCACAATTTCTAATTAGACAAGGAAAGTTAAGCTGCCATCAGTCACTCTGTGACCTCTTTGGTCACGGCAGGAATAGCCACAAAGTTGCTGCTGTTTGCAGAGGGTGGCACTTGCTCAGATGATGGGAGAAAACCATAAGGAGGAAGACATTAGATCCAGTGCGTTGTATTTAGTGATCACAGGCCAGATCAGAAAGATCAAGGAAACTTTATAAGTTTTGTTAATCCCCCACAGCTACTTTGTACGTACTTCTGAAGCTGAACTTCCAAAATCTGGATCCTCCCATGGCATGAACTGGTTTTGGAAATACCCAGAAGTGTACATACAGCACCCATCTCCTCATTGTGGATATTAAAAAAGGAGAGTTTACTAGCAAAGAGTAGAACCTTGCTTCATGAACTGAGTGATTTCTCTTTACACCTGGAATATTGCAAAGCCTTTCGAAATCCCCTAAAATTCGTACCTCCACAGAGGTCTTCCACAGTAAATAGATCATCTTTGAAACTTTCCAGTCAAGAGGAACTATATAATCATCTGGCAACAAGGATTCTGCAGAAGAAAATATTTTTGCAGTTGAGTGTTCTCATCTCTTCACGGCTAAAGTATATCACTGCATTGTCATTTTTGCTAATTCCTGCATGAGCCAGCAGCAAAGCCAAAACTGACATTTACCAAAGACCAGGGGAGGGGAGGGAAAAAAGATTTGGTTTTGTTTTCTTTTTTTATGCAAAGACTTTCGTTTCCCCCACACTCCCCGAACCACAGCACAAACAAGAACAGAAAGCTCTCAGCCCATAAATGCAACAAAACGCAGTTCTGTAACAGACTCCACGTTTTAAAATGCTTATTCATAGGAAGCACTGCAATATTATCCAATAAATTACTTTCTAGTATGTTTTAACTGCAAAAACTCTTCACTTCTCAAGGAGCTGAAAAGAGATTCTTCATAGAAAAGCAGTCTAAAATATATTTTGTGCTTATAAGAGAAACAGCCAAGCAAGTAAATCAACTTAATCTTTCATTTATAGATATCCAAGGACAATTACCACAATTTTTCCCTCCAAAATTTTTAAACAAAAATTGTCTGCAATTATCACTCACAGACTCTACTGCCTGATGGAGTGGTTGGCAACCCTGCCTGCAGCATTCTGTAGTTCTACGTGTATGCCAATGAACAGCCTATCACTACACAGCTGACCACAGAAAAAGCACAAGAACTTCTGGAGTTGTGAGAAAAACACGTCTGAATCAGAACACAGTCAGCATTCTGTGGAGCATTCACACTTTCGAGGAGAAAACAAACCCACAGCAATCACAAGCTGGGGAGAGCTCAGAGATATCAGGGGGGCTTTATATTTCTTAAAGGTTATTTCCAAAGGAAACTCATCTAGAATATTATATCATAGAATATCATATAATAGAATCATAGGATGGCCTGGGATGAAAAGGACCTCAAAGATTATCGAGTTTCAACCCCTGCTATGTGCAGGGTCACCAACCAGCAGACCAGGCTGCCCAGAGCCACATCCAGCCTGGCCTTGAATGCCTTCAGGGATGGGGCATCCACAGCCTCCTTGGGCAACCTGTTCCAGTGCGTCACCACCCTCTGTGTGAAAAACTTCCTCTAATATCTAACCTGAACCTCCCGTCTCAGTTTAAAACCATTCCCTCTTGTCCTGTCACTATTCACCCCTTGTAAACAGTCATTCCCCTTCCCATTTATACGCTCCCTTCACGTATTGAACAGCCACAATGAGGTCTCCCCGGAGCCTTCTCTTCTCCAAGCTAAACAATCTAAACACCCAGAAACTCACTCACAGAAGAATGACATTTGCTGCACCCAACAGCTGAGTGCTTCGGGATGCCTGTTCTGTTTGCCATCCCCCTGGCCAATCACTTCTTTCAAGTCATGGCCAACTCCAGTCCCTCCTAGATGCTGGCAATCAAGACCACAGACATTAGTGCTTGCCAAGCTTAGATACTGTAGCAGTTGAGACAACCCCAATTGTTCCTGGCTGTGCTTAACCCTGCACATGATTTGGTGCCAAACTGAGGTCAGGCAGCACCGCAGGTTCTTTGGGCACATATCGAGGCCAGCAGTGCTGCCAGGGGGTTGCCATCACTGTTCTGGCAGGTAACATTGCCATCAGCTTGTGTGATAAAACAAAGAATCAGCATGCCTGTTTTGGCATAGAGACAGAACATAAGCTGCTTTTCTGCTTTTTTGGTTAAATTCAATTCCACTGAAGCAGACAGGTGTACAGGCTCAACAACTCATCCGTGTTTTAAAATCTATTTGTTTGCCAAATCAAACTTACTGCTTTTTTCACAGGCTAAGTTTAGGCCAAGGAAGTTGCAGACCCTTACACACAGCGGCCATGGGCGGCTCTTCCCATCGCAGTGTGTTGCAGTGATTCCCAAACATGCCCATTGTTGCTGACTGCAGCTCTGTGCGGCCAGCTGGCAGTGATCTGGAAATCACAGTTGCCATAAACAGCTCCTCCGAGCACTGATGGTGCTTCTGAGTAAGTTCATGTGCTGAACTGGAAGTACAAGCATAGGACAACTAGAGCTCTGGAAGGCAAACATGGCACTGTGGCACTCAGTCACGTGTGATTAAAAAGAAAGCACTGAATATCTGAAAATGCATCCTGTAAGTGGAACTTAAATGAGATTCTGCAAAAGGTTTTCAATTGTATCTAATCCACATTAGGATTTATGAATAAACCCCACATTAGGGCTTATTCCTTTTTCTTTGCTTATGAGAATATGCTACCATCATCAACCGTAAAAAAAAATAAACATGCAGGTTTTATATAAGAGCACCCATTTTTCCATTTAGTTTTGTAATCAACAAATTAAAGCCTTTCTGAGAATGATGTATTCACATCAAGAGCTTTGGATTTGAAGTTGCTAAGTCAGCATCACTCCAGAGAATGTGAGGGTGAGGCCAAACCCAATGGCCCCTTAGAGATAAAGTAAAGATGCTTTAAAAAAAGAAAAAGAAAGAAAGAAATTCACCAAAGCAGCTGCGATTCCTTTCAGGAGGGTTGCTATTTCATTCACTGTTACCTGCAGTCAAAATGAACATTTAATCACACACACACGTATTTACACAGCAGCAGTAAGAAGAGCATTACCCAGCGGAAGACCTGGAGAACCAAAGAGCTGCACAAGTTGAAAAGCAAATCCTATGGATAAGGGAAGTCCCAGGAAGCTGGTTTTCATATTCACATCTTGTTTAAATGCAGGTGGAGAGGCCGCTGATGGCTCAGGGCCATCTGCTTTGTGCACATTTGCAACACACCTTTCCAAGATGCTCGGATCTTCTGCATATTCAGAAACAGCTTGAACAGAAGACAAAATATCTGGCTGGCTGCTTATGACATCTGAGGAGATTTCACCTTCACCTTTGTTACCAACTGCCTGGTGCTGCCTTGGAGTTTGAGCTCGCTCCTCCTTTGTTCTGGAAATCACACAAACACTACAAGAATACTTTGGTGTTGGAGAAGACCTTCCCAAATGAAAATACGAAATAGCTTGTAAGGGGGAATCCACATGAGGGGTGGGCAAGGAATGGGGGGCCTCAGGGCCACCGTACGGTGCAGCATACTCCTGAAACACCAGGTTCTGTTCACGTCCCAGTCCACGGTCCTGCTGCAGAAAGCCCTTTAGCTCCACTTCTAATACACTTTCTGAGGGACCATCACCTTTTAGTAGGAGTTCCTCCCCTCCCTCCATACCACCAGCAATCTCTCTGGGCAGATTAAACTTGGGTGCCAAGTTGACTATTCTTCTGTACCTTTTTCTCTTTGGTGCAACTGGTGCAGCATCATTTACTGGCATTGAACAGTGCGTGGAGGTGCTCCTGGGTTCCACAAGTGAACCCTTGTGCACTTCACCAGGCGAAGATACCAACACACCATTGCTCTGTGTATTACCTGCCTTCTCAGTCACCATTTCCTGGTGGTTTTCCTTTACCAGTCTCTCACTGGGCTGGGGGCAGTTCAGCTCTGCTGAACTGTTGGTGCACATCTGTTTGGGCTTCCTCGCTTTTTTCTGTCTTTGTTCACCTACCAACTTATCCTCAGACCAAGAAGAAGAAAGTTGTGCATCAAAACCCTGCTGTAATTCCTCAGTAGATAAATTAATTGAAAAAAAAGCCCAGGCATTAGAGCAGTTCTCTTCTGTTTTCATTGCACTTTTATTGTCTGTGTTACTATCAGGCACGTTGTAATGCACTTTGGAATTGTGACAGAGAGATATTTCTTTTTCTTCACCAGTTAAAAGTAACTGTTCAGCTTCCATGTCAGGTTCACATGTACTTTTAAGTTTGCTTTCTGTGCTGGACAGTAGGCTGTTACCTTCACAGTTGCATTCTGCTTCTTGGATACAACTTGCATCACTCTTTACTTTCAGGGTACTGCTCTTACAAAGATTTTCCCTATGCTTTTGATTCACTTCCTCATCATCAAACACGTTTTTGGTCGTGCTTCCAGTGCAAAGGGGTTTCTTATCCGTTAGAAGTGAGCTGTCACTTTCTGCAGGCACTTCATGTGTCAGCACCCCATTGGACACAGCTGACATCTCTGTGACTGGAGAGCTCACAGCTTCTGTCCCGCTTTCCTTATCACCATTCGGCTGCTCCTCACAACCTCCCACGGGATCCTCAGCACCTTCCCCAGATGCACACAAGGACTTTCTGTTTTCCTCTTCTGAGTCGTCCCCCTCACTTTCAGATGTTTCCTGGTTGTCTGGAATGAGAGGAGCCGCTCCGCTTAAATTCTGCTTTGTGATTTCTGTCATCTTCATTGTTTTGTTTCTTTTTCGCTTTTTCCTCTGCTTTACTTTTGCCAAGGGATGCCCGTGGCTTTTCTTTAAAATTCTCTCCCTGGATGAAAAACAACAATAGAAGAGTTTAAAAACCAATATATATGTAAATATATTATAAATATTATATAAATGAACATACTTGTGGTGTGCCATTTGAAGGCTATTCACCATTAATGATGGTCAAACACAGACCATCTGCTTTTTAAAACGGGCAGAACCTCAGATAAGAACTTCCATTGATTAAACACAAGTGTAGACCTTACAATTCACAACAATCTTGAACATCTGACATATAAATAAATACAGTTGCAGTCTCAAAACTTAATTTTACTAAAAGCATCAAAAAAATCACTGCAATCCTGTTTCTGGATATCTTTCTAAATTCTTTTTAATAATAGATACTGGATGCATTAATAATAGATGCTAAAGAAGTTGAAGAGCTTCTGCTATTCTGAAATTCCTGAAACGTCCTGCAGAGCAGAAGTGTACCAAGGAAGAAAGGGTCGTCCATTAGGATTAAATAGACTACACTTAGATTAGATGAACTTAAACCTGTACTAACCCAAAGCCTGAATAATGCAAAGGCACAGGGACTACAGCAACACTCTGATGCTGTTCAATGTATTACGAGTGGGCACGTTTGGAGAAAAAAATATTTCACATTCTATATTTGCAACAAAATAATACACTACAGACAAGTTAACTCAGCTGTAGGCAGTGATTTAAAGAGAAATTTGCCTGCATTTCCCCACAAATTCAATAGATAGCAGCCCTAGCAATAACTTCTCTGAAATTGTGGTCTTAGTTAACCCTGAAATGAACACGAGTAAGAAAAACCTTCTGGGCAACAGTGCAGCCACAGCATTACTAAACCAGAACAGGATCCAAAAGCCCCAGTGCCTTCATATGGCTGCAATGAGTGCCATGCTTCACAGGGAAGACCCTATGGGAAAGCACACACATCTAATTGCCCTGAAGTGGTGTCCACATCTGGAAGCATCTTCCTAGGAAATCAGATTTCCTTCTAACGTTGGTATTTGAGTCTCCGTGGTGCTCCTCTCAGTAGTGAAATCTGACTTCCTCTTGCACAAATGAGTACGTTTTCAATGCAGGGCACTGTGCTTTAATTGCAGGTGCCTGTACTGCAGGTACATATTAGTCAAGATGAGTTTTACTTAGCATTCTGCTCACACTGAAACATACTTCCTCTCACCCCAAAGAGAGGCAGACTGCCTGGAAAAAAGAAAAGTAGTTTTAGGACTGACTACATTTCCTTTAGCTATTGAATGAAATTGCAGAAAAGTAGAATGTCTTCAACAGCAATTAAAGAGGGTTTTGTTTGTTTGTTTGGTGTAACCCAGATTTGTCTGAACCGTATACTTATCACAGAACGCGCCTTAAATCCTGACACTAACATTTCTCCTTTTGGAAAGGAGCTTTAGAAGTGAATTTAGAAGAGGAAGTTCTCTGAGGTTTTCAAAATAATAATGCCCCTCACAAGCAGCATATAAAAGAACATTCTATTTGTGCTTGCTTTGAATGGAGCATGGAAATAAAACAGCAGATGTGAGCATCAGTTCCATGGAGAATCTGGTATTTTATCTTTGTGCTGTCATTGACAGCTCTGCAGAAATGACCAGATTGCCAGCGTCAGCACCTAGCACAGGAAGGCTGAAATCCAGCAGCAAAGGATCAGACTCCTCCAGCCTCATCATTGCAGTAGCTGTGCCTGCTCACCATTCAGCTCCCCCAGATGTGGGTTTGTGCTGCTGCCCATAAGTGGGAACCTCAGCCTCAAGCACGTCTCTGCTGCCCAACTCCTTTACCTGAGCGTCCTTTCAGGATAATCCTGACAGACTTTCTTAGGGTGGGATGGCAGGCTAAGAGATACCAAAGAACTCAGCAAAGCAAAGTCGCAGGCCAGCACATTTCCTCTCCTCACCATTAATTCAGATTCAAGGAGCAAAAACATACTGGAAAGGATTCACTTCAGAAGGCAAGAACAGCAGAAACACACCCACCAAATAACAAAGATAACACTGGATAACTCAGAGAAACCAGCAGCTGTTACTGCACTGGAACTGGAGCATGTCATAATAGTGATGGTAGCAAATGTTGGTCCAGGTGGATGATTTTATATGCCTGGAAATATCACTTCATAATGAGAACCAACAGTTCATATTAAATACAACCACATCACTTCTCTACTTTGGAAGAGAGATTTTAGATCAGTTCGGTGAAATTCATTTTTTAAGGGTTTGGATTTCCTCCAGAAAGGACTGAAACAATAAGGGATGTGATGGACTGCTGAAGGCAGAGTAATTTCATCATTCTTCACTCTTCTCAGCCAGCTAGTCCTAACAAAACACTGCCTCTGACAAACGCTGTAATGCACTGTGATGCCACAGCTGAGATTTCCTGGTGTGGGGTATCTCCAATATCATGTAAAGGTTGTTTTTTTCATGTGATAATGTGAATTGTCTACTAACTGTCTTAAATTTTAACCCAGTTCCTCCTCTTTTAGCCCACCTAGTGCTTTTTGGTAGTTTTCCCCAGTCATAAAGCCGTATGGCACACAGAGAAAGTCTGAGAACCAGCATGGAGATAGACTTCCTCCTTGACAGGAACATTTGCTAGCAAGTTGTTTTAAAGCACACAAAGCACACCTCAAGTTGGAAGAAAAACGTTGCAGGTTCAGTTGTTATTTACATTTTGCCACGTATTATTAATTTTAAAGAGACACAACTGTTTAGTAATAAAGACCTTAACAATGTAGTATTTTTGTTGGAAGAGGAACTCACTGCCTATAATGACACTTGGAAATTTCTCAGCCTGCCCCTTGGGCAATGTGAAAAGCTTTTCCCCATAACTCTGTTGCACATGACCTCAAGGTTTAACCCAATGCTCAAAACAGCACCCACAGCCTGAGGGGCAGCACTCAGAGCCTTCACTGGAGAAACAGCGTTTTCATCAGAGCTGAGGCAGAACACACAAAGAAAACCACCTATGGAAGGTAGCTATATATATATAATTATTTTTTTTAAACTGGAAAATGAAAAAAAGAGGAAAAAAAAATAGCAGATATTTGAATGAAAGTTAATTTTAACTTCAGCTCTACCACACATTAAAATTGATGTCTCCTTGATGTCAAAACATGTCTGTAGTAATTACTGTAATGGAAATACAGAGGAACTGATAAATTAAAGATTCTGTATGACATCTAGCAATGAGCTACACACTCTGAGAAAATTAGCATTGATTTCCAAAGTCTCCATAAGGAGTAACTTTCAATGAGAGCTCTACTAGAGCTGCTCATATAAAGAGGTAATTGAGGATATGGTTTGCCTTCCCTTCCTGGTAAGTCCATGTACGTGATTGAATGAACACATCCTTCCTCGTTACCCAACATGACAACAGCAACAAGCAGAAACAGTGGCTATAACTTCGGAATAACAACAACAAAAACCACAGCACCAGCCTCTCTTGTTGCATATTTTGCCTTTCATTCTTAAACGACTGCTGAAGATGCAGTTCCTCAAAACCAAATGGAACAGTGGCATTAGGTGATGAAGCAACAGGGAAAAACCATATGCAAAGTAAATTTGAGCCTGATACCCCCCCCAAAAAAAAACCCAGAAAATAAACCTGCTCAGCAGCACAGGGCTTCCTGAAAGGTGAAATTCCATCAGATGCTGAGCATCCAACTTAGCAGTTCCAGTACCCATCTCTTGCTGGTTCTCCAGCAATCCTTCACAGGTGGGTTCAGCTGCTTAAACCAGCACGGAAAAGCAAGCATAACCTTTTTTTGTTGTTGTTGTTGAGCCAATTCAAGACACCAAAACAAGAAGAAAAATGTGTGTGTGTAGCTGAGAGAACAAAAGTGGTGAGAGCAAAGTAACTCCTTTCAGCAGCAGAAAGTTGGGATAGAAATCCCCCATGTACAATTGATAAGCAATGCTTACACATTGCAATGCTGTAAATTAATGCTACTCATCCCAAACCAATAATAATCCTACTAACTGGGTTCAATCTAAAGTAACTATGCATGGCAGAGGGTTGGAACTAGATGGTCTTTAAGGTCCCTTCCAAGCTAAGCTATTCTATGGTTCTATTATTCTTCATTTCCCAACAGCAGTGAGAAGGAAACATACATCCTCATGAAATACACTATTCTGTCACAGTGCTGACCGCTCTACAGGACTGCTGTTTATATGGCTCCATGCACTACATAACCAGCCATCACATTTCTGATCCAGACACAGGAGACAATGATCCAAAGAGAGCACAGAGAACAGCACACAACAGGTTTGATCACAGCATGCCTTTAGAAGCTGTCCATTTAATCAAATACGCACACAAGTTTACTTTGAAGTAAAACATGTAAAGAAATAAACAACAACCATCTGAAACCCATCAAAAACTCCACCTACCTTAGGTGCTAGTCACAGCAATTCAGCTTCCATATGATGGTCCATTCACTCCACCATTTTGTGCGTAGTGATCATACTGATCGCTTTCCTACCTGCTTGATGAAAGCTGTGCCTGTCTTCCGACAGAAAAAGCTCTTTTCCTTCTCCTCCTCTGGCTATTTCTTCATGGAACGTGTTGAACAACACTAAGGAAATCCACCCTGAATGCACTGATTGATACATTCACACGCACACACACACACACACTGAGAGCATTTCTGCCCAGTATCAAGTATCTACTTCCTGAACAAGTGAAACAGCCACTCTCAACATCATTTAGGTGCCACAAACATCTCACCAGACATCTCAAAACACTAACCAGAACAAAAAACAATAGAAAATTATCACTCTTCTTATTCACGAAGGTTCAAATAATCAATTTCCACTTAAGCTCCCTCTGGGAAAATTCTGTTTTGAAGCAGCTGCCAACACTACCACCTGGAAATACAACAGGAACCATGTTCTCAAGTCCGATAACATTCTAAGATAAGTTCTATTACTTGTGTGATAACAGCTTAACCATGAAGACAACCTGTTCAAAATGAATTCAGGCTAGACAACAAATACACTACTTTGAAAAGCTGTTTGA